GAGAATGGAGGAGAAGGGATTGTGGCGTGACCATCCCCCCTGGGGGGTGATTTCTCGCTTTCTGTCTCTATGTCTCTCTCTGTCTGTCTGGCAAGTGCACGCGCCCTACAGTGAAAATCTCTCAAAAAAAAAAAAAAAGTATATATGAACCTTAAACTCAGAATTATTTTTTAAGCTTCTGCTAAGTATCAAACCCTAAGAGAACTAGAAAAATGCATAGATACCTCTGAATTTAGGAACCTTAACATTTAACATGGGAAACGGAACAGTTTTCTAGTGTGTTAGGCTGCACATAACAAAACTGTGACAAACTGTCTTTGGCAATAAGGGCCTCTATTACTTCACAGAACAGGAAGTCCAGAGCCAGGGCAGTATTGAGGATTGGTTGATTTCAGCCTTACGAATATCCTTGACTTCCCTCACGTGCCATTGGCCAAAGCTGTTACATCCTTAAACCAATGGCAGGGAAGTAGATGGGATCATTCATTGGGCTTCCAATCATCTGGGATGTTGCAGATGTTGGCAAGTCACCACAATGTCTAACACAGACACAGAAATAAAGGAAAGGCAACATCTGGTCACACGTGATAAGAGGTTCAGACTACTTCACTTCTCTATATCAAGGGGGCAGAAATTCATCCCAGAAATTACTTGCATAAGAGTATGGCCATGTTCAGAGAATTATCTAAGAGCCCAGTTGATTATTCAGCAAAGCAGGGACTAAGAGAAAGACAATGTCGAGCTGTTAGGCCCAGCCGTGGTGAAGTACACTGCTGAGACACTGCGTTCCATGAACTGGAACCACGTGGGAGGCCTGGGTTCAATTCCCAGTCCAGCCTCAAGGCTGGGTGCAATGGCATATGCCCATAATCCCAGTGACTCAAGAGGCTGAGGCGGGAGGATTGTGAGCTCACAGCCATCCTGAGCAACATAATGAGACACTGTCTAAAAAGACCTGGGCGTGGCAGCACACACCAGCAGTCCCAACTGGGACATTGAGGCAGGAGGACTGACCAGCAAGACCTTGTCTTTAAAATAAATAATTGAGCTGTTGTATAGCCATTAGAAAAAAATCAATATGGAGTTCCTCAAAACACTAAAACCAGAACTACCAGGTGACCCAGCAATCCCACTACTGGTGTATTCCCAAAGGAAAGAAAGGTGTGTGTTGAAGAGAGATGTGTACTCCACGTTTATGGCGGCCTGTTCATAATAGTCAAGATTTGGGATCACCCGAGGTGTCCGTCGACAAATGAATGGGTGAAGAGAATGGGGCAGGGACAGCGATTTGTGCTTAACAATGGGACGTGTTCTTAGGAACGCATCACTAGGCAGTTTTGTCACTGGACGGACGTCATTGAGGACACATAACAGACCTAGACGGCGTCGCCTACCACACACCTAGGCTCGGTGGCAGGGCCTACGCTCTTTATGGGCCACCACTGTATCTGTAGTCCAACACAAACAACGTGCCCTTGTGTGGTGCGAGACTGCACACACAGTGGCATGCTCTTCGCTGTGTCAAAGAACGAAGTCCTGTTACCTATAGCAACGTGGATTCGCCTGGAAGACATTAGGTTGAGTGAAATTAGGACACAAAGACAATTACTGCATGTTCTCATTCACATGTAGAAACTAAAAATATTGGTCTCAGAAGTAGAGAGTACAATAGTGGTTTCCAGGGGCTGGGAGAGGGACGAGGGAGAGGGAGAGGTTGGATTACCAGATACAAGATTATGGTTAGACAGGAGGAATAAGTCCTAATGTTCAATAGCACAGCAGAGTGACTAGACTAACAATAATGTGTGTCTCGAAATAGCTAGAAGAGAGGATTTTGAATGCTCCGAACACAAATGACAGTCTTTAAAAAGAAAAAGAATTACTTATTTATTATTATTCAGTTTGACCAAAAAGAGAAAGCCTCCAGGTCCAGGACTCGAACCACGCCCCCTCGCCACCCCAGAAATGACATTCTTTGTCATTTAGAGTGATCTATATGCTACTGATCCTGATGTCAGCATTCACATTGTACGTATGTATCAAAATATCATGCGGTAGGACCAGCAGGTGGCATGGAGGTTATGGTGCTAGATCCCACATGGGCAGTTGCGTGGTTCAAGTCATGGACCTGGTGGCTTGAAAATCATGCTGGGCATGTCTGCATGTTGTCCAAAACCCCAAGAGGAGAGTGGAGGAGAAGGGATTGCAACCAGGTCATCCCCTCTGGGGCAGGGGGTGATTTCTTCCTTTCCCTCTGTCTATTTGTCTCTGTCTGTTGAGCACAAAAGCCCTATAGCAAAAAAAAAAACTGTACTCCATAAAAATCTGCAATGATTATGCATCAGTTTTTTTTTAATGTTAAAATAATCAAGATGTTATTTGCAACCAGATTTTGGAGGCCCGAAATACCATACCAGGGACTGGATTAATCTGGAATCAGTATACAAAACAGACTGCAGTGGGGAATCAGAAAAGGTGTGCACCCCAGATTGGAGACCTGGCCTGTCATTGGTCCAACAGGGAATAGGGCGAGTCACACCCAGCTCTGAGGCCCTCCAAAGAGAACCGCAGAGAGCCTGGGTTGAGTCCAAGTCAATCATGAGAAAAACAGAAGCAGGGGAAGTGGCCGTGGGCACAGAAAGGACCACGCTGATTCTAGAGACATTTCTGCTAGAACTGCCCGGTCTTAGAGACGAAGAGGGGATAAGAATACGTGCGTTCTGTCTGATTTAATGTGCCATGTTTAAATTTCTAGCATTAGAGAAGAATGGACTGTGGCATGAACACGCCCCCTCGGAGGGCAGTTTCTCCACCTGCCAAGGTTCAAAGAGACCTGGCAACTTGAAACTCACGCCAGGCGCATGTATGTGCGTGCCCAAAGTCCCTGGAGGAGATGGATGGGACCGTGGCAAGGCCAGCCCTCCGAGGGGGTGATTTTTCACTCTTCCTCTCTCTGACTCTCTCTCTGTAGCGAACGCATGCCCCCTATGGCAAAAACAAAATTGACAAAAATATAGAATTATTGATTAATTTGGAGGTGTGACAATAGTATTGTTACTATAGTTTTAACCATAAACTTTATCTTTTGGAGATATTTATAAAGTGATTTAAAAAAAAATCAAAGATTTGATTAAATTACTGGGTTGTCAGGAACGTCATGATGCATTTTTTTAATAGAAAAATATGTCATGGGGCCAGCAGGTGGCATGGTGGTTAAGGGCGCTGGACTCTCACATGGCTGACCACGGTTTGAGTCCTGGATGTGGTGGCTTGCTTTTTCACCTTCCGCCCACACATACAGACTCTCTCAGTCAAATTATAATAAGTAAATAATTCATTAATTAAAAAAAATATGTCATGACTTGTCTGATGACCGAATATTTACTCCCACTCTTTTTATAATGATGAAAGATGAAAGAGGACCCAGAGCCTTGGAGTTGGACGGATCATTCACGTCAGTTCATCCCTGGAATGGAGTAGCAGACCGCAGCCTTTAAAAGGGGTTGTGTGTTTATCAGAAAGGATTCGACAAAATGTTAACAAAGCTCCTTTCTTTGTTTTTAATCTGCCATAGGGTGTGTGCACTCACTGGAGAGAGACAGAGAGATGGCAGCAGGGCTAGAAAGCACCCCCCCCCGCCATGAAGATGACCGACCCGAATCCCTTCCATGCCGTTTCTCTTTTTGGTATTTTGGACACTCACACTCATGTGCCCAATGTGGTTTTCAAGCCGCTGGGTCTGGGACTCGAACTATGCAGTTGGCCATCTGGGATCCAGCTACCTTAACCATCTCATCACTGGCTGGCCCCAGGTCACTTCTTGATAGTCAATTTTTAATGCAATTTCAATTTTCTATCTGCTTATTTATACTTTTTGAAATATTTATATTGTGCACGTGTTATTTATGAAATTAACAAATTAAAAGTTTACACTGATTTATAGATACTTAATAGAAAGACATGTAAATCATAGAATTTCTCAGAGAAACTTTAAAGGGCCAGTAAATATGCCAATATGCCGCTTTTAAGGTTTTTTTGCAAGAGAGTGTGTGCACTTACCAGAGAGACACAGTGAGGGAGAAAGTGAGAAATCACCCCCCGGGGGTGATGGCCACACCACAGTGTCTTTTCTTCCATCCTCCTGGGATTTGGGGCACGTATATACACATACCCAACATGAAGCTGCCAAGTCTGGGACTAGAACCATAGTCAGTCATTTGGGAGTCTAGTACCTTAACCACCAGTGCCACTTGCTGAGTCCTAGGTTGGGTTTTTGTTCTTCTTGTTTTTTTTTCCCCATCACACTTAGACACCTGAAATAGATGCAGCGCAAAGGCTGAATTACAAATACTTAAACTTCAGGTCCCAGGACAAAGAGGCAATTCCATAGATGCTTACGAAGCTTTATCATTTAAAGCATCCACCTAGACCGAGGTAAAGGGAGGGCTATGAGCGGAGTTCCCTCCATCAGCGTGCTGCTATTGGGCCTTTCATCCAGCCCACACTCTCCCTCTGAAGAGCGGCCAGTGGGAATCAAGATCTCCCCCGTGTGCTCCAGGACTCCCAGTTGGAGCTGTTTCCAGGAGGAATCTACGGAAACACAGACTTGTTCTGTGTTGGGGGTTTGCTATATATAATCAGCTAATGCCTTATCAGACTTCTGAACAGCCAAAGTGCCCGGAATCTATATTCATCTCCCTGGTTCCATTTAGGGCTCATCTTGCAAGATATGAAAAATTCAGTAGCAACAAGCTTGGTCCTTCAGCCCTTACGGGCCAAGGGGAAGGCGGCCGGCTGGCTCAAGACGGGATATTTTTAACGTTTACAAACACGCTCCTCCGGCTGGAAGAGCAGGCCCCGCTCGGAGATGATGAAAACGAAACCTGGAATCTGTCTGTGGTAGCTCACCAGAGGCGTGGTCAGGGGCCTGGGAGTGGACTCTGGCTCCTGCGGTCACTTTCCGTGGATCATGTGACCAGTCATATGACGTTCTCCAACTTAGCCCCGGTTTCTTGTACGTCGAGAGGCACGTTGGGCAGGGTTTATATTTTCATCATTCAAATACTTGAATACTCGTTTCAACCCTGTGCAAGGCAGCTTGTTAGCACTGGAGGGATAAAGGGTCACGGAGTTTCTAGGCCTGAGGGCAGGACAGGCATGAACCCACAACAGACCAGACTGAAAACAGGATGGTGAGTGGTGCTTTCTGGCTATGGAATGCGAAAGGGTGGCAGGGGTAGAAGGGGTGGGGGTGAGAAGTATTTTGTCTCAAATAGGGACTGATTTGTTTGTTTTTAGTTTCCTACAGGGTACACACATACATAGTGCATTTTTCAAGCCGCCAGGTCCGGGACTTGAACTATGCAGTCGGCCATGGGGGATCTGGCTGCTTTACCTACCATGCCACCTGGCTGGCCCCAGGAACTGATTCATTTTCCTACTTCCTAAATATAACAGCTGTGTTATTTACTGTCCCTCTGGGTTTCCAGGAAGCCCAGAGCTGCTTTTAGCATGTTCTCCCCGAAGTAAACTCTGAACCACGAACTCCATGTGGGCAAGGTACTGATATTTTGGAGGTGACCTGGGAGCACTAACAGAGTACGAGGGGAACGAGACCAGGCAGCAAGGTGGGTTACCACGTAGGCAGCTGTAGCTCAGCTCCTCTGGAGAGTTCTGGGAACATCACAGAGTAGGCCTCAAAGTGGGCTGGCCCAGTGGCCTGCTGGTTAAGAGAGCTGGATCCTATGTGGCCAACCATGTGGTTTGAATCCTGAACCTGACATCTTGAAAAACACATCAAGTGGGACACAGCAGTTAAGGTGCTGACTCCCACATGGTCAACTGTGGTTCAAGTCCTGGACCCGACGACTTGAATATCATGCTGGGTGTGTGTGCATGTATGCCCAGACTCTCAGGAGTAGAATGGAGGAGAAGGGATTGAGGCATGGTCACCCCCCATGGTGATATGTTCTTGCTTGCTTTCTTGTCTCTGGTGATCGCACACACCCTATGGCAAAAACAAACAAACAAACAAACAAACAAAGGAAGAAGGAAGGAAGGAAGGAAGGAAGGAAGGAAGGAAAGAAGGAAAGAAAGAAGGAAAGAAGGAAAGAAGGAAAGAAGGAAAGAAGGAAAGAAGGAAAGAAGGAAAGAAGGAAAGAAGGAAAGAAGGAAAGAAGGAAAGAAGGAAAGAAGGAAAGAAGGAAAGAAGGAAAGAAGGAAAGAAGGAAAGAAGGAAAGAAGGAAAGAAGGAAAGAAGGAAAGAAGGAAAGAAGGAAAGAAGGAAAGAAGGAAAGAAGGAAAGAAGGAAAGAAGGAAAGAAGGAAAGAAGGAAAGAAGGAAAGAAGGAAAGAAGGAAAGAAGGAAAGAAGGAAAGAAGGAAAGAAGGAAAGAAGGAAAGAAGGAAAGAAGGAAAGAAGGAAAGAAGGAAAGAAAGAAAGAAAGGGGAAAGAAGAACACACTAAGCATAGGTGTGTGTCCCCCAAATCCCAACACGATGGAGAAATGGAGATGGAGGGTTGCATCTTGGCCACGCCCCCACTGGGGGTGCTTTCTCCCTCTCCCTCCCCCTCTCGTCCTCTCCCTACCTGGTGAGGGCATGTACTCTCTGGCAAAATAAAAATTAAAAATAAGGAGGGCTATGACTGGAAGTTCCCGTGACTGTCGAAAGGCAGCTGATGTGTGCGCTAACTCCCCACCCCTCGGAAGGAGCTGCTTCCGGGACGCCTACCCCCGGGCTCCTCCAGCTTGCGGCAGCGTGCCTGACGGCACCCTGGTAACGGGATCACAAGTGCTGGCCACCAGATTGTCGACCCTGGTTTTCATGTATTTATTTATTGCTATAGGGCATGTACACTCTACAGAGAAAGACAGAGAGGGAAAGTGAAAGATCACTCCCCGGGGGGATGGCCACACTGCAGTCCCTCCTCCTTCATTCTTTGTTTCACAATTTGGGGCACACGCACACACCCAGCGTGCTTTTCAACCTAGTTGTGGACTCGAACCACAGTCAGTCACATGAGATGCAGCCGCCTTAACCACCACGCCACCTACCGAGTTTCCTCGTTCTACTTTGAAAGGATGGAACAGGGCTGGCTGGTGGCTGAGGTGGCTGGATCCCACATGGCCGACCACACGCTTCCAGTCCTGGGGTCTCTTTGTAAAACCAGTTTAGCCTGTACCCTAGCCAATGCCCACACTTAGGACTGTTTTTAATTGTCCTCTTTAATCTTATTTTATTATTCTTACTGGATTATGTCTTTGTTTTTCTTTTTCTATAGGGTATATGTGATATATATGTATGTATATATATACATGTACACACACACACATGTGTGTATATACTAGACAGAAAAGGGGGGCTATGGTGAGAAATCACCCCCCCCCCCATAGGGGATGCCCCACTGCAGTCCCATCTCTCTCATTCTCTCAGCACACGCCCTGCATGATTTTCGAGCTGCAGGGTCCAGGACTCAAACTGAGTAGGTGGCCATATAGGATCCAGCCGCCTTAACCTCCGCGCCACCTGCTGGCCTATGGATTATGTCTTTTCGCATGACTCCTTAGGTCCTTGCTGGAAAGAAGTTACTAGAAAACAAACGACCAAACCCCAGCTATTGATATCGCCCGTATTCATGGCTGCCAATCATCTCCCCATCTCGGGGAACACCCCGCTGAAGATAGGGCTGGACTTAGCACGCGTGGCCAGGACAGGCTTTGTTCGTCACTACTGAGAGTAGGGGACAGAGCTGAGCTCCAGTCCAGGTTGTGCAGAGGTCACTGGGCATCGTGGGAGCTGGGGGGAGCAGGGACGAAGCGAGAAGTTACGAAGGGTCGGTCAGTGTAGATGCGCTCATGGTCCCTCGGGCCAGCTGTGCCTGCTGTCTGGCAGTTATCCAAGTCTGAACTGTATTCCCCCCCGGACTGGAGACAAGGCCTGTCCTTCTTGATTATGACACCTCAGAGGGGGTGGCTTTCGGGTCCTGGAGAGAGAAAGACACTGCTGACTGGCAGGAGACACACAGACTGTGCATCTTAAAGCGACGCTCCAGCCCCGATTTTAAGCCCTTTTTAGTAGATGTTCTGTGAACGGGGGTGGGGGGTTATCTTAGATGTTGGTTAACACAAACAGGACTGTTTTTTTTCTTTCTTTCTTTTTTTTTTTTTTGATGGTTCTGAGCTTTTCCAGAGACTTGAAAGGGGACTGGGTTCTCCCAGGGACACAGGGACATCACCTTAGGCTGCCAGAAGCCATGCTAAAGTTTGTCCCTGAGAGCTGGGGTTGGACCGGTTCGTGCTGAGCATTTTCACAGCTCTGTTTCCACGTCATGACCCCCACCTGCTCGGTGCGGGAGGACCCCCCTCTGTGGACCCTGGAGCGAGGGTGCAGGCATTTGATGGAGCTCCACCTTCTCCAGGAGGCTTCAGTGAGCAGTAAGAGGAGGCCCGGCTCAGAGAAACTGATCCCCAGATAGCATGGTGGTGGAGACGGCAGTATTTGGGGGCAGTGAGGCTACCGTTCTCGGGCGTGTGGCAAGCCTGGATCTCAGAGTGTAAGCATTGCAAGCCGAAGAGCTCCCTGCACCTGAGACCACGTGGCCGGCCAGGGCAAAGGCTGGCCGCTGGGGCCCTCTGTCAGGGACAGGAGGCAAAGGGACGGTCTCTTTGGAGCACCCCGTATGGCCCCGGACACCAAGGAGAAGTGGTTCTGTGGCCCAGCAGCCCAAGCCAAGTATGGGGGAAGATCTGAAGCTGCGCAACAGTGGCATAATAACCAGCATGGATCGTAAAGGTGCTGGGCAGAGGCTGGCATGAGGTTAAGGCAGGTGGGCCCTGCATGGCCGACAGCGCAGTCTGAGTCCTGGGTCCTGCAGTTTGAGAGAGAATGCAGGTGCATGTACGGCATGCGTGCGTGTGTGCCCCAAGTCCAGACAGCAGAGTGGAGGAGAGGGATCGCAACCTGGCCCTCCCCCTCGGGGAGGCTGACTGCTCACTCCTCTCTCCATTTCTCTCTTTGGCGAACACACACACACCTTGTAGCAAATATTTTTAAATAAATAAAAAATACACATGCTACATGTTTCTAGGGGTCTGTTATTTTTCACAATGGAATACATGTGGTATTTCCTGGTTCATCTCTGTTCTTGGCTCAGTCTCTCTCCCCACATGACCTCCTCCACATCAGTTACCATTTATGACATGACCCGAATTTCTGTTTCCACAGCAGGCCTTTTTTTTTTTTTTAAAGGATTATTTAATTTTATTATTTTTCAAGAATTATTTTTATATTTCTCTTTATTTATTTATTTATTAAATTTGACCAGAGAGTGACAGGAAAGAGAGAGAGGGAAAGTGAGAAAGCAAGCCAAGATCCAGGACTTGAACCAAGGTCAGCCATGTGGGACTCCAGTGCCCTTAACCACCAAGCCACTTGCCAGCCCCCAATTTTTTTTTTTTTTTTTTTTGAGAGAGAGAAAGTTTTACTACAGGGCACGTGCGCTTGCTGGAGAGACAGAGACAGAAAGCAAGAAATCACCCCCCAGGGAGCATGGCCATGCCACAATCTCTTCTCCATTCTCCTCTCAGGATTTTGGGCACACATGCACACATGCCTGGCACGAGTTTTAAGCCACTGGGTCCAGGACTCGAACCACTGTTGGCTACATGGGAGTCTAGCAATGTAACCATTATACTATCTGCTGGTCCCTTGTTATTATTATTTTTTTAATTTGACTAGAGAGAGAGAAAAGGGGAAAGTGAGATAGCAAAGCAACCAAGTCTGGGACTCGATCTTCAGTTGGTCCTGTGGGAGTCCAGTGCCTTAACCACTATGCCACCTGCAAGAGGGCACATGTGTTCACCAGAGAGGGACAGAGGGAGAGTGAGGACACGCCTCCTATGGGGAATGGTCACCTTGCAATCCTTCTCCATTCCCCATCCTGGCGGGACTTTAGGCATGCGCCCACAGGCACCTACAGTGTTTTTCAAGTCACCAGGGTCGGGATTCAAACTGCTTGGTTGGAAACGTGGGCCCTCACACCCTTAACCACTAGGCTGCGGGGCAGGCCCACTGAGCATTCTTTTTTAATGATGACCTCAGTAGCCGCGTGGAAAGGTGTCTGTGTGTGGACTATGGTTCTGGAAGGTGGCCTCTTCCCCAGGGCCTCCAGGTGGCCTTTCCCTGACCTCACCACTGTTGTCCTGTCACAGAGTGAACACGTCTGTCACCAGCACGAAACTAACAGCTGACCCATCTGTCTGGGCGTTTAAGGAGTAAGAGAAGTTAAGGTGTGTCGAGCTTCCAGCCAAGACAGAACCTAGTTCCCCTGAAACGACTTCCCTTCTCGGGCGTGAGAATTACGGTGCCAATGTAATATCAGTCTCTGGAACTTTTCCCATACCCCTAAGCTCCCCCAGATCCAGCTTTGGGGGAAGGCCATCCGGGTGGGAGTGGGGAGTGGTGCTGAGGGCAGAGGCCGGCGTGAGACCTCATGTTGGTTCTCACCAGGCGCTGGGATGGGTCGGGGCCCGCTTGTATGTGGGTGTGTCAGGTATTCTGGGAATTCATGTCAAACCAAATCACTTCTCTCTAACAGGAAGGTCTGAATCACAAGACACTGATAAGCTGTCTGAACCCCTGCCCTACTCTCTGGAGCGTCCCATTCCTGGCTCCCCGGTCTGCCCCAGGAGTCAGTGTACCCCTGTGGGAGCAGTGTCCAGCTCCAGCTAGAGAGGGTGAGTTCATAATAGCACCCACCCCGCCCACGCCCCTGGGCTACCCCCACCCCAGACAGGCGGGCTGGGTCACAGGGCCGCTCAGGGCGGCATAGCCCCGTACAGAAGAGCTGTGGGAAGCATGCCCAGTGATCCCGCAGCTCGGGGACCGCAGTACTCGCTCTCTGAGCCACGTCAGCAAGGACTCTCCCACATTCAGGAAGCTCCGGAGGGAACGTGTGAAAAAGCTCACCCTGCAAACAAAAATAGCACCTTTCCACAAAATCTGGCCAGTGACAGGCTTCCTCAGAGCATCAGACTTACCCGGCCACTTGCCTGGCATGGAGTGACATGCTAGCTCGCCCTGCTAAGGGCAGACCAACTGCACAGGACTGAGCGCATTACTCAAGTGCAGAGTTCCTGATCTGGGGGCTGCAGCCAGCCCACGCTCCGTGCTTCGAGCCATCTCTTGGGGGCTGCCTGCTCCTTTCCTTATCTGCACAAAGGCGTATGAATTCGTGGTGGCTCTGGTGGGGACACTGGGTCCAGAGGGGACAGTGACCATCTCAGGTAGAGGCCTAAGTTCCTGTTCTACCGTCATTGTCTCCTTTTCTTTTTCTTTCAATTTGTTGGAGGATATATGAACAGAGAGAGAGAGAGGGAGGGAGGGAGTGGGATAGCATCCCTTCTAGAGGATGGCATGCCACAACTCCTTCCCCATTTCTCCCTCCTTTTGAGATCCTGGAATATGCACCCAGTGTGTGTTTTTAAGCCACCAGGTCTGGGATTTGAACCATGCATTTGGCCATGAGGGATCCAGCCACTCTTACCACCTTGCCACCAGCTGGCCCGGTCCTCTCCTTTTCTGTACCTCCTACAAAACATCAGCTTATTGCCTCAGAATACTACCTGATCGTTTATTCAGTAAACGCAGATTGTCCATCGTCTCTGGGCAGGGCGGGGCTCTGTCAGGACGCTGTATCAGAGAACATTTCCCAAGAGAAAACAGACGGCATTCTTAGATTCAAGGAGGAGGTTAACAAAACCCACATTCATTAAGGTGTAGGTGTGGGGGAGCCGTAGGGATAGCTCAGTAACTAGGACTAGTCCGTGCGTGCCCAAGAACCCGAGAGGAGAATGGAGGAGAAGGGCTTGTGGCATGGCCATCCCCCCTGGGGGATGATTTCTTGCTTTCTGTCTTTCTCTCTCTGTCTTTCCGGTGAATGCACATGCCCTATAGCAAAAACCTCTCTTAAAAAAATAAATAAAAGGTAAAAAAAATCCTAGAGCTCGTTGTCACTAAGCTGTCACCATCCCTAGGGTTGAAAAGCTGGACCTGGAGTACGAGAAATCTGGCAGAGCACGGGAGTCTCAGGCCCTGCAGATCTGCAGACCATCAACAGTCTGCGATGATATCCGAATGGCAATGGAAAGTAGTGTTCAGGGGCCAGCAGATGGCTCAGTGGTTACGTCCCTGGACTCCCATATGGCTGACCACGGTTTGAGTCCTAGACCCAGCGGCTTGAAAATCATGCCTGACGTGTGTGAATGTGCATCCAGGAAACCAGGAGGAGAATGAAGACGGGATTACAGGATGGCCATTTCCCTGGAGGGTTATTTCTTACTTTCCCTCTCACTGTCTCTGTCCTCTTTTTCTCTGGCAAGAGCACGTGCCTATGGCAAAAACCTCTTAAAAAATAAACAGATGTTTAGAAACGTGTACAACTTAACATCGCCATAACATTGAAGCAGGTGATCAGCGCCAGCTAATGTAGTTTGGAGCTCAGGTTTGTTTGTTTGTTTTAGTTTCGTTTTTAAGATTTGTTTACGGAGCCAGCAGGTGGCGTGGTGGTTAAGGCGCTGGACACGCCCACATGGCAGATCACGGTTTAAGTCCAGGACCTGGTGGCTTGCTTTCTTACCTTCCCTCTCTCTCTCTGTTTCTCTCTCTAGTCAATTTAAAATAAATAAATGAATAAATATAAAATTTTTAAAGATGTATTTATTTGTCATAATTTTCAAGCTACTCAGTCCAGGATTCAAACCAAGGTCGGCCATGTGGGAATCCAACGAACCATGCATTTGGCCATGAGGGATCCAGCCACTCTTACCACCTTGCCACCAGCTGGCCCGGTCCTCTCCTTTTCTGTACCTCCTACAAAACATCAGCTTATTGCCTCAGAATACTACCTGATCGTTTATTCAGTAAACGCAGATTGTCCATCGTCTCTGGGCAGGGCGGGGCTCTGTCAGGACGCTGTATCAGAGAACATTTCCCAAGAGAAAACAGACGGCATTCTTAGATTCAAGGAGGAGGTTAACAAAACCCACATTCATTAAGGTGTAGGTGTGGGGGAGCCGTAGGGATAGCTCAGTAACTAGGACTAGTCCGTGCGTGCCCAAGAACCCGAGAGGAGAATGGAGGAGAAGGGCTTGTGGCATGGCCATCCCCCCTGGGGGATGATTTCTTGCTTTCTGTCTTTCTCTCTCTGCCTTTCCGGTGAATGCACATGCCCTATAGCAAAAACCTCTCTTAAAAAAATAAATAAAAGGTAAAAAAAATCCTAGAGCTCGTTGTCACTAAGCTGTCACCATCCCTAGGGTTGAAAAGCTGGACCTGGAGTACGAGAAATCTGGCAGAGCACGGGAGTCTCAGGCCCTGCAGATCTGCAGACCATCAACAGTCTGCGATGATATCCGAATGGCAATGGAAAGTAGTGTTCAGGGGCCAGCAGATGGCTCAGTGGTTACGTCCCTGGACTCCCATATGGCTGACCACGGTTTGAGTCCTAGACCCAGCGGCTTGAAAATCATGCCTGACGTGTGTGAATGTGCATCCAGGAAACCAGGAGGAGAATGAAGACGGGATTACAGGATGGCCATTTCCCTGGAGGGTTATTTCTTACTTTCCCTCTCACTGTCTCTGTCCTCTTTTTCTCTGGCAAGAGCACGTGCCTATGGCAAAAACCTCTTAAAAAATAAACAGATGTTTAGAAACGTGTACAACTTAACATCGCCATAACATTGAAGCAGGTGATCAGCGCCAGCTAATGTAGTTTGGAGCTCAGGTTTGTTTGTTTGTTTTAGTTTCGTTTTTAAGATTTGTTTACGGAGCCAGCAGGTGGCGTGGTGGTTAAGGCGCTGGACACGCCCACATGGCAGATCACGGTTTAAGTCCAGGACCTGGTGGCTTGCTTTCTTACCTTCCCTCTCTCTCTCTGTTTCTCTCTCTAGTCAATTTAAAATAAATAAATGAATAAATATAAAATTTTTAAAGATGTATTTATTTGTCATAATTTTCAAGCTACTCAGTCCAGGATTCAAACCAAGGTCGGCCATGTGGGAATCCAACACAGATTTCTCAACTAAGCAGCTTACACCAGGATCTATGTCAAAATGCCATTTCCTTCACTGAGAAAGTCATGCTGTCCACTCCACGCCCCATAAATAAAAAGATGAACAAATAATTAGAAGTTAGCTCGAGGGCCAGCACGTGGTGTGGTGGTTAAGGGGCTGGATCCCACCTGGTCGTCTCTGCAGTTTGAGTCCTGGACCTGAAGGTGGAGAAACATACCAGGCACATGTGCACGCATGCCCAAAATCCTGAGAGGAGAACGGCGGAGAAAGGATTGCAGCATGTCCGTGTCCCCTGGAGGTGATTCTTCACTTTTCTTCTCTCTCTCTCTAGCCAGAGCCCAAACCCCATGGCAAATTAATTAATTAATTAATTAATTAAATAAAAATCTAAAAACCAAAAAAAATTCTGTATGAAAAAAGTCAACTAAACTTTCTGTGTGCAAGGAAACAGTGAAAGTTTCTGTGTCAGTTCTATAAAGGCTAGCTAGTGTGTGTGTCTGGGGATTATTTTCTGTATTATGTGGTAATATGGAAAACCGACCATCAACAACTGTAATTACATGCTACAGCATGGTGGTTATCGAATGGGAACGTGCTGTCAGGAAGATTTGAATGACAGAATGAATTCCTAGTGTTTCTGCAAGAAAGGACACCAGATTGGCTGCAGCTTTTTCAGGTTGTGAATCAGGTGGCCGGATTCTGCTTTGTGGTTTAACATCTTGGGTATTTTTAATAACCTTCATTCTTTTAACCGAGAAAGGAAATACAGCTTGGAAGAATAATTTCTACAAATTGGACGAGTTCCACTCCTTTTTGCTTCGTTTCTGGTCATTGACAGAGGGTACGAGCAGTTGCCAGGGAGAGAAATCATTCCCCAGTGGGGTGTGGTCACGCCCCGATCCCTTCTGCTCCATTTCTCCATCCTGTTGAGATTTGGGGCATGCACACTTACATGTCCAATGTGTTTTGCAAGCTGCTGAGGCCAGAAGTCAAACCACAGATGGTTGTGTTGGGATCCAGCTCCCTTAACCACTAGGCTACCAGGATGGCCTTCTATTACTTAATTATAAATGAAGTTGGTGATAATTCTGATATTATACAACTATAAAAGCTGATGCTAAACTGTTTACTTTTAAAAAAGAAAAGATTTTTAGTATAGGACACGTGTGCTCACCTGAGAGAAAAACAGAAAGAAAGGTAGAAATCACCCCCGCCCCGGGGGGATGGCCATGCCACAATCCATCCTTTCTCTTCCATTCTCTCCCGGGATTTTGGGCACACATGCACACGTGCCCGGCGTGAGTTTCAAGCTGCTGGGTCTAGGACTTGAACCACAGTCAACCACGTGGGAGTCTAGCACTTTAACCACTATACTACCCGCTGGCCCCGTCCCTTACAAATTGGATAGAGCATTCCCAATTTTATTTTTAACCTAAAGCAGATCCACACCTAGGAAATGAATGGATCCAGAACGATAATCCAGAACTATAACTGTAGAGGATAAACAGTTCACAGTGGCTACTGATAATGGATTGGAACTAAATTTCGGAAACATAGTATTACTTCCCTCATTTCGTATAGAAATTTAAAAACGAATAGTCTAAAACTGCTGAAGTTACTTGAAATCTCTTCATCCATGCCTCTTTTTTTAAGAGACATTTTTGCTATAGGGTGTGTGAGCTCACTGGAGAGACAGAGAGACAGAAAGTGAGAAATCACCCCCCAGGGGAGCTGGTCATGTCATAATCCCCTCTCCTTTGTCCTCTCAGGATCCTGGGCATGCGTGCATGTGAATTCCAAGTCACCAGGTAGGGGTCGAACCATGGTTGACTACATGGGAGTCCAGCGATGTAACCATTATGCCATCTGCTGGTCCCTGTCCATGCCTTTTAGAACTAAGTTTTCTACTATGAGTGTAACTTTTTAAAAACATTTAGACAGCTTACATGTATGTTTTACCCCTTGGGTATCCGTGTTGTCGATCTAACTTAGATTAGATAAATGAACAAGCAAAAGATAAGTTGTTTGTCACACCAAAAATATTAACATATACATTGTCCTTTCAAAGTATGTACACACATTTAATAGGCAATTACTGCATGCCTCCTCATTTTTGGCTTAGAAAGGATTGTGGAGTCACAAGAATTTTTGTGTGTAGCAGCAGTCCCCTGCACTAACGATCTGTATCTGCCTTTTAGTGACACACATGTGTAGTTTTTTTCTAGTTTCCTTTTTTTATTTTTTGCTATGGAGTGCCTGTGCTCACTGGAGGCAGAGAGCAGGAGGGAAAGTGAGAAATCACCCCCCAGGGGAGATGGTCACCCCACAATCCTTCCTCCATTGCCCTCCCAGGAGTTTGGGCATACATGCACATGCACCTGGGGTGGTTTTCAAGCCATCAGGTCTAGGACTCGACTGGCAGTTGGCAATGTGGGATCCAGCGCCTTAACCTTCATGCCACCTGCTGGCTCTGAAGTGTATATTTTAACAAAGGGTCTTGTCATAATCCTCCTGCCTTGGCCTCCCTCTGGGGCTCTCTCCCATTGGCTAAACTGGCCAGAAGCCAGAGGTCCCCAGAACCCCATTGAACTAGTCCTTCTGTGTCAACCTCTAGGACAGAGGATGGGAGATGGCACACTGAAGGTAGAGATGGCAGCTGAGCTTGCAGCCCCAAGGTGCTGGCTGTTCTGTGGGAATACACAAATGCAACCAGGCGGCTTTGTCATCAGTGCCAGGACAGAAGCAGGACTGGCGGGCTGTGGGCATGTACATCTAACCAACCTGGTTGGGATGAAGTGGCTCCCTGGAGCCTAAGACATACGAGCTGAGGAAAGACAGAGCAGTAGTCTGTCTCGCTCCAGCCAAATGAAGCAGTAACCAGGAGCAGCCAGTGGGAGTGGGGGTATTGGTACCAGCAGAGAGGGCACCGTCCACATGGAGCCACAGCCACAGAAGGACACACACACAGAGAATGCAAGCAAAGGAGGCAGGACACGTGGGCCTGATCAGACCTGCAACATCTCCTCAGAAAGGGATCTGGACTTTATCCTGAAACAAACCTGGTGTAAGTTTTATTTTACAGAAGGAACAATGGAGAAGGTCTCTGTTAAACAAGCCAGGGCGGGGAAGG